TTACAACAGAAAGTGGGGATTGATTTTGAGTCGTCCATTAGCCTTTTTGCACCAGTTGAATATACGTGATTGTATATTATTTCCCCACAAAAGCAGGGATGAGCACCATGGAAGATAAATGATATTTTGTCTTCTGGCATTTTGAGTGTATGAAGGTAAAACACATTTTACAATTCAAATTCAATATGAGAAGTACAAAACTGAAGCTGTTATAAAAAAAAAATAACTCCCTGCAACTGTATATTTCTGCTGACTGAAAGTGAATCCATGTTGCTTTGTCACCCCACCCCCCTTCACGTGCATGGTTGCTTGGCAACCAGGGAATAAAGGGAACTCCAATCAAGTTTATTGCATGCATTTTTTGAAATATTAACAGCACAACACATTGTTAAGTTAATACAAGACAATAGCAGTGTTCAATATATGTTGTCACGATTTCAATTCTGATAACAATGTTGAAAAAAATGACGTGGGTTTTATTTTGTCAATAGTGACAAAGCACTCAGTATGTGAAAAACTTGGTCTGTGTACGTCTTGATATGATTATTCTAATATCCTTGCATATTTGCAAAGCATATATTATGTATGAACTACGCTTTTGAATGCATCGATAATATCAAAGTATTCTGTGAGGCTACTGGCTAAGGTTTCAAGCATTCTGATGAGCTAGCGAACGTTAACACTGCAAAATCAACAGAGTTGGAACCAAGTTTCCTATGAGCTGGAATTTGTCACTTGAGTAACACGCAGATATTCATTATATATCGTCATACACAGATATCAAAGTTGCATGCCCTTAATTTTATAAATCCTTGATATTACATGTCTACTACATTTATTAAATTCTAGCAATGTTTAAGAGAGAATGATTTAGGTCAATACACAGACAATCTCGCAGTATTAAGTCATGGATCTCCTGTTGCAAAAAAACCTGCAAGAAATTTGCACAGCTACAAATTAATTAGCGAAAAAGTGATTTTCAGTATAAATGCTTTTGATTCTGAATGTCAACTGTTCGAGCACTGTCTCCAAAAATGGCACAATGAACACTAGGGGGCTAAGTGGTGCAACACTTTATAATAATTCTTTGTGACTCTAATACAGTCTGGTTTAATTCCGTGATGATCACATGACTTTTGTTCTTCCAGGGTCGACACATATTGTACGTGCATTGACAATGTTGTCCCATAATGCCATGGTACATCCCCAGAGATTTATAGCCGCCCCTTTACTGATATATTAGCCAATGTGTAATTTCAGTAATCGCCGAATTCTCCGCACAACAGCAGGTACAAATCCATATCTAGTCCTGGATTTTCCATAACACTCGTCTACTTTCAGTGTCTTCTCAAAGAATGGTTCATTCAGACATGCAATAGCATCACCTTTTAGCTGCAGAGGGAGAGGGGGGAGGGAGGGAAGGGAGAGAAATTAGTGATTTCAATTCACCTATACATCGCATTCCCACTCACTGACCTCTCACTGACCACTGTAAGCAACACAAGGGCTTTGGTTTTTGTATAATTCATGAGAAATCTTATTTAACATATCCTGAAATTGAATATCAAAGAATCTCTGATCCTAAAATAAGGTTAAGTTTCCTTGAGTGATTACAAAAATGAAAAGTATGTTTAATTTGATGATTTAAACCCAGAACCTTCAGTACATTCCAGTATTAGTATTCCAATATTTCCAGATTTGTTGCCATAGCAACTGATTTTATCATTTCGGTGGAAGGAAAATTTAATGCATCAATTTTCACCCAATCAACATAAATTAGCTATATGAATAATGGTTTGTCCCTAAAAGTCAAGACAGTTTCATCATCAAGAAAATGGTACTCATCATAACAAGTCTGTACTTAATTATTAAGAGGGGTAACCAATTTTTATGAATCAGCATTTAATTGACCGATTGTCAAATCGTTTTGAAGATATATGTATTAAGTGCATGCACTATAAATTGAGCAAATACGGTACAAATTACACATAATACCTGCTCCAAATCTTCTTGAGTGACTCCTTCCATTGCTCCTATCAGTTTAGACATCCCTTCATAAAGACTACTGTCTTCATATTCGCTGTCAGACAGTCCAGGATATCCTGAAAGTTATACAAAACAAGTCATTGTCAATGACACGTCCCCGTTCCGTTCATATTTGAGTGACATATACATTCAAAGCAGATCATGACCGAAATGCACCTGCATATGTACAACACATTGTACTAAATCTGAACAAAATCCATCCATGCATGACTGAGATCCGGATTATGGAATTGTGAAAATACGTGATTTTGATGCATTTTCGGCCTTAAAATGGCCATCATTCAGCTATTGTTAAGCGGATCATGAAACAAATGCACATACATATTTGTGACATGATGTACCATGTGTGTGTGAAGTTTGAACTTGATCAATCCAGACATGTCTTGGATACGGATCCAGAACTGAATTTATTAAAACAAAATGGCCACCAGTCAGCCATTTCGAACTTGATCCGAAAAAAAAATGACGTGCATCAAGGTCCTATTATGTTTAATGTATGTACCAAATTTGAACAAAATCCGTCCATGCATAACTGAGATCCGGGTTCGGAATGGTGAAAATGTGCGATTTAAAGAGGCCGCCATTTGGCTATCGTTAATGAAATCATGAAACAAATGCACATACATATTTGTGACATGATGTACCTTGTGTGTGTGAAGTTTGAACTCGAACAATCCAAGCATGTCTCACATACGGATCCAGAACTGAATACTTTAAAACAAAATGGCCGCCAGTCGGCAATTTCAAACCCGATCCAAAAAAAAAAAAATGACGTGCATCAAGGTCCTATTATGTTTAATGTATGTACCAAATTTGAACAAAATCTGTTCATGCATAACTGAGATCCGGGTCCGGAATGGTGAAAATGTGCGATTTTGATGCATTTTCGGCCTTAAAATGGCCGCTATTCGGCTATCGTTAATCGGATCATGAAAAAAATGCATGTGCATATGTCCCATATAATGTGTGATGTATGAGTGAAGTTTGAACTTAATCGGTCCATGCATGTTCGAGATACAGGTGATCACGGACGCACGGACGCACACAGGGCAAAACATAAGTCCCCGTTTTCGGACTGCGTCCGAACGGGGACTAAAAACTATCACTACACATTATTTTTGAGTAAACTTTTGAAGACCTCTGCGAGAAAGGGATGCAGATTAATGCACACTCAAGTCGCCTGATCACTTGATGGGTGCTCTTATTTGCCTTATAAGGCTCAGAGGTTGGGAGAATGAATAAAAACAATTACATGTATATAATCGAGAGATTTTTATTATTAATAAAAGCATGCCATCAATGGTGGATCAGCACCATGTGCAACTGCATCTTATTCATTATTGCACACACCCCCCGTCCTTACCTCGTTCTCGATCAATAATAGCACATAGCCCTTCACTCCTTAACTGGGTTTCCTCACCTGATCTTGATCAAGCAGCCTGATTTACATACCTTGTAATCGACGTGGTTTTCCGGATTTGATCGTTGGCATAGAAAACATGGCGCTGGATGAATCACTGGGCTGACAGTGGAGAAAATAGAACTCTAGGTGGCGCCATAATAGAAATATAGAATTCTCAACAATATCTGATAACAGATATATTAAGGATATATAAGGATTAAAAAATAACACAGGTTACTAGGACATCCCTAAATAATACATAAAATCCAATGCATATACAGGTTACATGGCCATAAGTAATACATTAACTTTGAATCATATACATGTTACATGGCCATAACTAAGTACATGTAATACATAAACTTCATTGCGTATACAGATTACATGGCCATAACTAAGTAATACAGTTAAGGTCACATGAGGTTGGGCAACTGGATCGGGCAGTCGGATGGACATCTGGGCAGCCAGGACGACCATCCTTTGCAGCTGGGTAAGGGATTTTAAACAGACCTTTCGAGGTCTTTCAAAAATAGTAATCATTTAGCCATCATGAATGGGAACATGAATTGATTGCATATGTTTTCCATAGATGTACGATGTATGTATCAAGTTATAATGTTTAGACACAGTCACATCAGTAAATCCATAAGTCCATGTTGTCAGAATTCAGCGAAACAGGGACTAACACATACAACATACTGGCACTGATACTTAATTTCACTATTTTGATGTTGTGAGCATTTTCACTGGGTTTTAAATTCACAAATATGCCAGGGAAACAATGAAATCTATTGATATGTCTGCAAAAATTTTAAACAACCAGATTTCACTTATCAGCAAAAATAGCAACCCTGTGAATAATTTATGCATTAAATTACAGTACTATATCTAATACAATATTATAAGGTTATTACGAGGATACCTCAAAGTATGCACAAAGACAGTACAGCATGAGTATTGACCGACATGCAGTTTATATATCTTTTCCTTCCAAAGGATACATTATGGGAATGCCGAAATACAAAAAGTTTAGAACAGAATCAGCAAACTTGTTTGAGTCCGGTCAAACCCTTATGGCAGCCATGTTTGTTTTTATTATTAGAGGACGCTTATGCGCATAATCATTCCATATTTGGAATTCGTATTTCTTAATATGATAGAATGAAAACACCTTGTAAAATAGCGCAAAATTACGGCATGTTGTAACTTATGGCATTACGGTGACAGATGTTTAATATAATTTATTGTAACAAAGGATACAATAGTACAGTGTTAGTTGCTTGGCTTTATGCTGTACTATCTGAGAGAGTCTGCTGGCAGCTAAAGATTGTCGTTGATGAGTTGACATCTTGTCTGTGTTTGACACTCCCATGCTCAGCGCCAACTACATCAACAGTGCAAACAAAAAAACTACATTCATTACCATTCAAAGGCCAATTGGCTATATTTTTTGTCACTGGGCAAGAATAATTGTGATAACAAATGAACAAACATAGGGCGAAATGTACATGCTATGCAGAGATTACTGGAGAATTTGTATAAATATTGTGGTAGAGAAAGGGCATTGCGTTCTGGAAGTAAATTTTTCTGGGAATTACAACAAATTAATTATCAGCCATAAAGCAGTGACCGGAATTAAAAACCAGCAGCCACTCAACTGAGATAGCTCCGCTGTTAGCAATGCATGTTTCAATTAAAAAACAGAAGATATCATTAGAAAATGAACAAATCTGAGAGAGGTCTATCTGAGATACCTGCATGTATAACATCAAAGCAATCAGACTTGAAAATTGAAAATATCACTTTTTACCAAAAATTACAAAAATATTCATCAAAATTAGAGAATTGAAGATATCATGAAATGAACAAATCTGAGATAGGTCTACCTGTTGTACCTATATGTACATGTATAATATCAAGGCAATTGGACTTGCGTTTTTTAACAAGAAGTCGAAAATATAACTTTTTTCCATTAATGTTCTTCAACATTAGAGAATTAAAGATATCATCACAAAATGAACAAATCTGAGAGAGGTCTGTCAAAAGTACATATACACCAAGTATCGAAGCAATAAGAATTGTAGTTTCAAAAAGGAGTCAAAAAGTAAAAAGTTTACACGACGACGACGGACAATCACTCATATGATACGCTCCACTTGACAAAGTCGACAGCGGAGCTCGAAAAAATGGTTGTTGATTTAGGCAACCACTCTGAAAAACCGGTTGCCCAATACTCCATGCATGTTTAACCCTATGAACAACATTGTATGGTTACATCAGTTCTATTTTTAGTAAATCTACCTAAAGTATTTGCTCTATTAGTGAGTGGTGCATGTGTTTATTACAGAGGTGTTTCCATGGTCAAAATAAGTTACATTTCAATGATTCGGTTTCACTTTACAGATGTGCTTTTAATAGAACAATTACGATAACTATGAACGCTGTTACGGTGAACTCCGTATGATGCTTATAGAGACTTCTTGCGAACATAATGTTACTTACCTCTCGTAATTCTTCTGGTGCCAACTCATTTATGTGTTGTAGTTTGCGTATATATTGTTTATGACTTTCCAGTGCCGGAATAAAGACACTGGTACACTGTTTAAGAAAACGTACAATAACACCTAGACTAGGTGGACGTCCACCAGTCACAGAAAACATCTGCATATCTGAAATTAACAAACACAACATGCATGTTGTCTTAAATATTAGCAAATTACACAACATCCGTATGTAATAATGACAAGTTATGGCAGGTTTTCAACATCCCATTTTTATTAGCATGATGGCTTCCCATGGAAAGACAGTTTGAAATTTATTTGTGAAGTTCATAACATGTCATACATGCATTTTGCAGTACAATGAGGTATTCGTGTGCAAGAAATGTTTCCACACAAAAAGACAAATTCGGTTGATTTTTGTTAGCGGTTGACTTAATGTTGCCCAAAGGGATTATTTGGTTGTGAAAGTTTGGTATTTTTTTCCTGAATTGTAGGAATCTGAAAAATCTATTTCTTTATTTAGTTTCATTGCATATTCAAGATGCCCATATATAGGAAATATCAGTAAATTAATCAGATTAATTTTATTATCACTAGTACACTAGCTGACTGTAGCCATGATGTACTACCCATGTATATGTTTAAAGTGAATTTCCCAAGACACATGCATCAACTACCTACAATAGTTTCTGACTTTTTCACATTTCATTTACAGCAAAACAAGAAGCAAATATACAAAACAAGCCGGTAGGCTGGTTGGCGAACCGCTTCGCTCAAAAACAAGCAACATGCTTTTGGTTGTATCCATAGTGTGACATAAACGTGAAGCTAACGACAAAAGTGATTATAAGGGCAATCCTAGCGGAGCGGATCGCCAATCAAATGCATTACGAGTATCCAAACGCACAGTATAATTGAAATACAGAGACATAATCTAGTGTGATCCCATTAAAGAACAGTACCTACCTTCCATTGTATGCAACTCTCTGGATCTGGCTTCTACTAAGCTAGCAGTGAATAGAATAAGACATTGTTCAGAACTCAAGCCTGTAATGAAACCAAATGAAAAACAAGTCAGACATGACAGAGTCGGCAATATTTGAACATGTTGAATCACAACTCAATGTGCAACATGCGTAATAAGTTATATTTGATCCAGTTCTGACAATTAGGAAGTGCTTGATTTTTATGAAAAGAATGAAGCTTGTATTTGATCGATCGCAGCATATATCAGGCAGAGCATGTGTTAAAGCGAGAGGGTCATCGCCTATGCACGCGTGGGAATTGATTCCCAGGCAATGATGACAACACACGCTAAAACACAAAGGCTCATGTGAAGACGTTTATTTATAAACAATGACACGTGACATCTGACGCATGCCCAAGGTGACAACTCCCTCGCTTTAAGGCAAAATGGAAAAACGATTACACTTGATCCTAAAACTATAGGTATATCACTCACCAGACATTGAGACAACCGCTCTTGAGTAAGCTATGACATTGGATGAGATTTCTAAAAGGGCCTCACTGATTTCATCTTTTTTGTCTTTGCCGTCAGCCGCAATGCTACTGTCGACGTTTTTGAGTTTTTTCGTCCAATGATCCAAACAACAATAACGAGGTATCAGCGATAACATTTGTCGCTGGATACGAGATATATGACCCTGATATTCTAACTGCGACTGGTCTTCACGGTATGCGTTCTCACCTGGATATTGTGAAAATGTCAAGATGACAGTTTATTTTGTTGAAAAAGAATTGTTGACAGAGCTCACTACAGCTTAAAGCAGCGTTGGGTTAGTTACAATTAACTTCTTCTGTTCACAAAAATACTGTGTTGAAAGTTGAATTATGGAATGTCACTGGTTCTGAATTTTATCATCTTTCAACTATTATGACTCAGTGGTTAGTGTTCACTTTGCATCAGTGAGGTTCTGAGCTTTATTCTTGGAGTCAACTGTTTATTCAGTAATTTAAAACCCACCTTCCAAACACATGGTAGGAGGTTATTTTAGTGATCTACAGACTTACCTCCTGGTACTGTACGATATATAACAGCAGTGGTCAATGCTAATTCCTGCAGCGCTGGTAAACTGACTTGCACATGGTAGGAGGTTATTTTAGGGATCTACAGACTTACCTCCTGGTACTGTACGATATATAACAGCAGTGGTCAATGCTAATTCCTGCAACGCTGGTAAACTGACTTGTACGTGGTGATCTCTCATGATACCATTGAATACATCACTATGTGAAATAATAAACTGTAACACCTAGAAGAGAAGAACGATTACAGTTAATCACAATTGAATGCCACTTGGGAAAACCCTGACTGTATTTCACATGATGGCACCAGACATTTTTTTGTATTTACAAAAGTTATTATTCAATCAGTGAATTGAAAATTTCCTTCCTTGTCCTGTTAACAAAACAAGGAAGCTATCTGAAAATGACAGATCCCCCAAAACTATTACAAGCACTGGTTGAACATCTATGTCTGCAATTTTATAGTGCTCAAGATATGATATATGGTATTTATAATGAGGTCACATAATCATACAAGGTTATAAATGTGATCTAGTGTGGAATGTCTTCAATCAATAAATGTCTTATTTTGCAATAGTGCTGCTGATATGAACCATATGGACGAATGCTGGTAACTATTATATTCTCGGCCAATCTGATTAAAATTTGATGTAGGTATAATCTCCAATTTGTCTTTTTACTTGCTGTTATTAAGTCCTTTTTTTTTTTTTTTTTATTATCGTATTCCAGTAGTAGAGATGCGATATATAAAAATGTAATGAACAAAAATAAACAGATTGATCCTCTGCCAGCAATGTGCCGGGGAACAATAAGTGTAAAAGTTAGTACCTGGTATGTATTTGGTTATCGATAGCAAATAGTCCAAACACAGGGCACTAAACTGTTTTATCATTCCAGGCTGTGGGATAATACATGTGATAACTATTCATATTATGTCAGCAGACTAGAGTAGAAACAATCATCTTCATGGGATTAGAGAGAATATGACATAATATTAATTGACTGATTCATCAAAGACATGTCCTTACCTGATTGGCTGCCAAATCAGATTAATCAAACACATGTCCTTACCTGATTGGCTGCCAAATCAGATTAATCAAATACATGTCCTTACTTGATTGGCTGCCAAATCAGATTAATCAAATACATGTCCTTACTTGATTGGCTGCCAAATCAGATTAATCAAACACATGTCCTTACCTGATTGGCTGCCAAATCAGATTAATCAAATACATGTCCTTACTTGATTGGCTTGCCAAATCAGATTAATTAAATACATATCCTTACTTGATTGGCTGCCAAATCAGATTAATCAAACACATGTCCTTACCTGATTGGCTGCCAAATCAGATTAATCAAATACATGTCCTTACTTGATTGGCTTGCCAAATCAGATTAATTAAATACATGTCCTTACTTGATTGGCTGCCAAATCAGATTAATCAAATACATGTCCTTACTTGATTGGCTGCCAAATCAAATTAATCAAATCTCCTTACCTGATTGGCTATCAAATCAGATTAATCAAATACATGTCCTTACCTGATTGGCTGCCAAATCAAATTAATCAAATGTCCTTACCTGATTGGCTGCCAAATTAGATTAATCAAATACATGTCCTTACCTGATTGGCTGTCAAATCAAATTAATCAAACACATGTTCTTACCTGATTGGCTGCCAAATCAAATTAATCAAACACATGTCCTAACCTGATTGGCTGCCAAATCAGACTAATCAAACACATGTCCTTACCTGATTGGCTGCCAAATCAGATTAATCAAATACATGTCCTTACCTGATTGGCTGCCAAATCAAATTAATCAAACACATGTCCTTACTTGATTGGCTTGCCAAATCAGATTAATTAAATACATGTCCTTACTTGATTGGCTGCCAAATCAAATTAATCAAATGTCCTTACCTGATTGGCTGTCAAATCAGATTAATCAAATGTCCTTACCTGATTGGCTGTCAAATCAGATTAATCAAATACATGTTCATACTAGATTGGCTGCCAAATCAAATTAATCAAATGTCCTTACCTGATTGGCTGTCAAATCAGATTTATCAAATACATGTCCTTACCTGATTGGCTGCCTCTCGGTGCTGAATGCCCAGTGAAGTCATGATAGCTATTGCTAACTTCAAAGCGGGAAATAACAATTGCCTGTATCTTGCCATAAGACTTGGAACAAAACTATGATCCTCCATGCCGTCAGCATCGCCACTAACAGACCTCATTCTGTAGACAATAATTTAACAACTTAAAATAATGTGAAATATATCACTAAAAAAGTTTCACATGCCCTAAACTTTCATGTCAAAAACAATTTGCATATTTTTTTTCCTATAATGCTTTATAAATTTTGAACAAAAAAATGAACACAATGTCTACAGGTTTTCATCAAATTTTTTAAATTTTTGAAATATATGGAAAAAGTAATGTCTATTTTGTGAAAGTTTCAATAGTTTCGAACACAATTTCTACTAAATATTAAATAAAAATGAGATTATAGATAGCCTTTGTACGAAATCTTTGTATTTAAACCAAATCTTTAAATCTATCTGAGAAATTAGAAGAACACACACACTATAAACAAAATGACCACAGGTCAGCCATTTTGAATCAAATTGCAAAACAAAATGATACGCATCAATAACCTACAATGAATGATTTCAAATATTGGAAAGAAACCAATGCACACTTGAGAAACAGTTGTTCAAATTTTGTTTTTTTGGAAGAGGAAAATATGGCAATTGATCGATGGAATGAAAAACAAATTCATATGCGTACATTTGAACAAAATATCTAAGAAATAATGTCAAACAGACAGAAAAACGAACAGACAAATGGATGGACTTACAAACAAAACTTACATAAGTTCTTGTTTTAGACTATGTCTGACAGAGACTAAACAACAATTCAGTATAAGAAGACCAATCATAATGACGGCTCACCTGTACATATCTTGTTCTGGTCGTAAACTTAAAAATTTGCAATTTGATAACTTATTCATGACTGCGGAATGCAACAGTTCTTGAGCTCCACCAGGAGACTTTGCCAATCTTGTAAGTAAACTCTGGAATAAACAAGTAATTGCATTACATAGTACCCATGAATTATCAAGTTTAAGAAATATAGAAAGTCTGAATCATGAACAGTCGGATCATGTCGAAGATATGGCTTCAGAACTGCTGCATATGGCTTCATAAACAAGATGGCCAACAGTCAGCCACTTTGAATCCAGTCTGAAAAACAAAATGACTGACAACAAGGTCCGATTATGTTCAATGTACAAAGTTGGAACAAAATCTGTCCATTCACAACTATGATTCAAATTCAAAATTGATGAAATGGTTGATTTGGGTGAATTTCTAACATTAAAATGGTCACTATTTTGCCATACATCAAATGAATACATGTGCACATGTGCAGAATGATGTATATATAAAGTTCTAAAATGATTGGTCTGCCATGTCAAATATACAGCGCCAAAACATCATTTGTTAAATTAAGGCCGCCAGTCGGCCATTTGTAATTTGATATGAAAAAGAAAATGACATGCATCAAGGATCCCAGAATTGATATACGGTAGTCATCTTAAAAAAAAAGTCTACAAATATGGAATTAGTTTAAAAGAAAATAAATATATTCTTATTAAATAATCATAAGAACAAACAAAATTGTGTGTCATAACAGATTAGTCTGCGGCTTCAGATGCTTCCTAAAGTCACGTACAATCTTTTTTTATGGGACACCATTATGACCCAAGATTCCTACAAAATCAGTTCTGTTAGAGAGTACACTGCACCTGAGGTATTGATAACCTCAACAAAGTAGATGTAGATAAAACATTCATAAATGTTCTATTGAAAAACAAGCAGCCTATCGGCTGAGATAGCTCCGCTGTTAGCAATGCACATTTCAATTAAAGAACTGAAGACATCATTAGAAAATGAACAATATGAATAGTATCAAAGCAATCGGACTTACAGTTTTCAACAAGAAGTCGAAAATATCACTTTTTACCAAAAATGACAAAAATATTCACCAAAATTAGAGAATTGAAGATATCATCACAAAATGAACAAATCTGAGAGAGGTCCACATGTAGTACCTATATATGTAATATCAAAGCAATCAGACTTGCGGTTTTTAACAAGAAGTCGAAAATATCAGTTTTTACCAAAAATGACAAAAATATTCACCAAAATTAAAGAATTAAAGATATCATTACAAAATTAACAAATCTGAGAGAGGTCCACATGTACATGTAGTACCTATAGATGTAATATCAAAGCAATTGCACTTGCGGTTTTTAACAAGAAGTCAAAAATATCACTTTTTACCAAAAATGACAAAAATATTCACTAAAATTAGAGAATTGAAGATATCATCACGAAATAAACAAATCTGAGAGAGGTCCACATGTAGTACCTATATATGTAGTATCAAAGCAATTGGACTTGCGGTTTTTAACAAGAAGTCAAAAATATCACTTTTCACCAAAAAATGACAAAAATATTCACCAAAAATAGAGAATTAAAGATATCATTACAAAATGAACAAATCTGAGAGAGGTCCACATGTAGTACCTATATATGTAATATCAAAGCATTTGCACTTGCGGTTTTTTACAAGAAGTCGAAAATATCAGTTTTTACCAAAAATGACAAAAATATTCACC